AAATGCCACATAATAAAATTTATGGGATATAGCAAAAATAATCCTCAGAGGAAATTTACAGTATTCAGTACATGTATTAGAATAGTAGAAAGATCTAAAATTCAGTGATCCTCATGTCCACAATATATAATTAGGAAAAAAAAGCAAACTAAGTGCAAGGTAAATAAATAAAATAAATAATAAAAATTACAATTAAAATTGATGGAATAAAAAGTAGAAATCAATATAAAAGTCAATAAAACAAAAAATGGATTCTTTGAAAGACGGATAAAATCAATAGCCCTCAAGCTAGGCTAACAAATCTAGATACAGATCACAGCCCTTCACAACAGCGCACTCAAAATAGATGATAGGCCCGAATGTGTAACATAAGACTCATAGAAGATGACATAAGAAAATATCTAGATGATCCTCCATATGGCAATGACTTTGTGCATGTGTGTGTGTGTGTGTGTGTGTGTGTGTGTGTGTGCACGCAAGTGTGTGTCGATACAGGGCTTTACACATGGGTTAGCAGATGCTCTACATTGAGCGGCATCTGCGTGCAGCAGTGATATTTTGTAGGCAACACCAAAACAAGGTCCATTAAGAGAAAACTGATCATATGGACTTTATTAAGATTAAAAAATTTTGCTCTTTGAAACACAATGTCGAGTGAATAAGAAAACAAATAGACTGTAGAAAAGTATTTGCAAATGATATCTCTGATAAACAAAAGCTCTTAGCTGTAATATATAAAGAGTTCTTAAAACTGATCAACAGAAAGCAAATAATCTAATATAAAAATAAGCCAAAGGCCTGAAAAGGTACCAAAGAAAGTAAAGATGGTATTAGGTATATGAAAAGGTATTCAGCATCAGATGTCACTCAGGAATTGAGATTAAAATATCAATATGAAATCTCCACACACCTGTTAAAATGGTCAAAATCCCAAACACTGACGATACCAAATGCTGGTAAGGATGCAGAGCAACATTGTACAAACTAAACAAAATTTTACTGCACAGTTCAGAAACTGCACTCTTCGGTATTTATCCCGAGGAGCTAAAAATATCTGTCCACAAAACACCTCCACATGAATGTTTATAGCAGCTTTATTCATAATCGCTTAAGCGTGGAAGCACCCAAAATGAGCTTCAGGAAGTGAGTGGACAGATACACCGCGGTATGTACCATCCATGCCCCATTACTCGGCACTAAAAAGACATGAGCTGCCAAGGCAGGGCAAAATGTGAAGGAAACTCATATGCATAGTGCTAACTGGAAGAAAATACTGCAGCTTGCATAAGCCAACCAACTATATGACATTCTGGAAGACTTCAGACACACCCTACCAATCCTGGCTCGATAACTTAACTAGCTGTTTGCTTTCGGTCAATGACTTAAGCTCTCTTTTCTTTAAACTACTCATCTGTGAAATAGAGCTAAAGACTCTCTCCTTCATGTTCTGAAAATGAAAGAAAATAGAGCATATAAAGAGCTTAGCGTGGTGCCAGATGGAAAAATAAACATTTGCCAAATATTTCATGTAGGAGAAGTCCCACGGTAGATTCTCAAAGATACAATGAAGGTAAATCATAATGAGCACTCTCCAGGAGTTCATAATCTAGTAAGAACTATAAAACTGCAGTTATACTAATTCTTTTTTTCACAAAAAGAAATGTGATTTGACCAGGAGTTGAGGGCCTTAAAGGGGAATATTGCTGTCGTTTTTGTAAAAATAGAACCCTTCAGACAAGTGTAAAGACTATGTCAGATATTTTGCACCCATATAGTCCTCTAAAGAACTCAAATCCTGGTATTAGTCAGCTTTATAGCCTTGATGAACTTCACCAACAGGAAGCCACTAAATGTTTTGTCAGTGCTATATTTGGTGCCGGTTTAGCGCTTACTTAGAGAACCCTCTGCTGTATTGATCTTCTTCCCTCAGATATGACATAACCTCCCTTGGGAAAGTGAAAATAGAGCGATGTGAGCTAAGCTTAGCTTCAGAATTTATATCTGCAGGATATGAAACACTAAACAGGCAAAAGCATTCAAGAACATTTTTCATCAAAAAGTAATAGAAAAATAACTCCCTAGTAACCGTACTGGAAATCTGACCACAAGAACAAAAAAAAGAGATGTATTAGAACTTTTCAAATAATTTAAATATAGACATGCTTCACCTGCAGCCTACAGAAACTTCCTGAAGTCTTTACCAGACAGAGCAGAATTCAGTATAGAGGAATTATTAACATTAAGAATCTCTGTTTATCCCAAACCAGTATCAAAATCTTTTTGGTGTTAATCTACAGTGAAATTCTGGCTGAATAATTTTAAATAGGACATAGCAGAAACACTAAAGGTAAAGGCTTGCTGAATTCAGTACCTAAACTAATTACACTTAAAGAACCACTGTCAGGGCTTTTAAAGAAATACAACTGTTGCAACCAAATTAGAACTTTAGAAGTAATAAAAGTTAACACGATTTTTTAAAATGATTTAAAAGATATTCATGATACTCTTTCTGGAATTTTATTTATGTTAAGTCATTTTTAAAAAGCAAAGTAGACAATGGTGACACATTTATTTTCCACCATAATTCAGATAAATGTAATATTTAATTGAAAATTGCTTAAATGGCATGCTTCCAATTTCCATTCCTCAAAGAAAATCCAATTGTACAGAATACCTGGGGCTCCAAAATATTCTTTAAAAATACAATATTAAACATTGTTTCATTGGTTTTCTACATTTAGACTCAAGGCCTGGAAAAGCATAGAAGATACATTTTTGTTTTCAGGGTGAGATGTTAATGTTGACGATGAAAAAGCAAAAGCGGAAAAAAGGATGTAGAAGTGGGAAGGAAAAGCTGAGAAAAGAGTGAGCATCCTACAGCTCAGCTTTATTTATTTTACAAAGCAGCAAATCGAGAAATTATTTTCAAACAAGAGTTATACGATATTACTTAAAATGTAAAGATTCGTAAAAACCAAAAATAATCATCAAACATAAGCATGAGAGATTTGATTGTGTGAGTTATAAACCTTTCTTCTTGGCTGGAAGCCTACTGATATGATCTATTGATTACAGCAGACTAAAGGAACAAGCATATTTTTTAAAAGTTATCTAAGTTGTCTCCAAAATTTTAGAGAATAAAGATTAAAAGATGTTGCCTTTGGGAAAGATAACTGGAAATGGTGAAGAATGGGTGAAAAACTTACTTTTCATCATGAACTCATAAGTATTATTTATTATTTGCCGTGTGTAGGTGTTACTTTGAAATATGAAATTTATTAAAACAGTATTACTATGTGTGCATACTGATATTATTATTTATTCATAATTATTTAGAAAAATTAATGTAATAATAGGTAACTTCAAAAAAATGTGCAGAACACTCTCTTGATGAATCACCAGAAGAATAAAAATGCCTCTTTTCTGTAAAGTTCAGTATTTTCCTGCTCACTAATATTTTACCAGTGAAATAGGGCCACAAAATAAGTCCCAGTGAAATAGGCTCATGAGGGAAAACATTATTCATATTTAACAACTAACACCCTATTCATCAGTGTAATAGAAAGAGAAACAACAAAGGCTATACTTCCAGACATTACCAGAAATATATGCATGATAATGAGAAGGTTTCATCATTTAATCTACTAAAGGTCTTGGTTTCCTCCTCTGCTAAATGAGAGTTGGGAAATGAGGCTTTGAAGTTTGCTTCGGGCTCAATGTTATATGATCTTCAACAAAGTACTTTATTTGATATGATCATAATCAAAGAGTTCAAAAGTTAGAGTTTCTGGAAGTCAGCTAATCTGGTCTTTCATTCTTCAGAGCCAAAATTGGGTTCTCATGAAACTGTCAGAACCTAGGATAGAAGGGTGGTGGGAGCAAAGCCAGAGCCTGGATCTACAAGCATCCACACTGTCAGTCATGTATGTCTTCCGCCTTAGTCAACTTGAGTTTCTACAGCAAAACAAAACACCGTGGACCAGAGGCTTAGGCAACACAAGTGTACCAGAGTCCCAAGGGCAGGGTGTCAGCACTGCTCTTTTCTAGCTAGTCAGGAGCCCCTTTGCTGGATGCTCACTTTGTCCTCGGTGTATGTGAGTGTGTGTGTGCATGTGCGTGTGCGTGAGTGTGTGTGTACAGAGGAGATGGGGGATGTCTTCCTCTTCCTATAAGGCCACCTGTCCTTTCAAAATAGGTCTCAACTCAAATGACCTTACTTAACCCTAATTACTTCCTAAAAAATGACTCTCCAAATATAGTTACTTTGGGGATTAGGATTCAATATGAATTTGAGAGGGACAATGTCCAGCACATCGCCTCTTCTTTTGAAAAATAGATGGCAACTACATATCTCTCATCCCTGCCAATTTGATACAACTCTTGTCCCTTTATTCCAATATTCCTTTTTGAAGGAAATAATACTTCGGATAAAGCAGATGAAAATATTTCACAGCTTTATATTGCTTCTCATTTCTCATAGTGGACTTAAGATACTAACTGCGTAAATGTTTGCATGTGATACATTTCACACTTCCTCTGCATCAGACAACAAACGTAACCATGATGAGTTATCCTGTGGTGACTTTCCAAGCTCGCTTACCAGTTGCTCTAGCAAATCCACTTCCAGAGAGCTCTTTCAGCAAAATACCCTGGAGTAAAAAACTACAGCTAAACACCGATTAAAGCTGATAGATTTCTACAAAGGAAATGTCTCTTAGTTAAACACTTCCTTTATAGTCCAGCCTCACAAAACAGTATCCAAAGCCTTCCTCTCAAACTGACAGACACAAGCAATGCATTCTAGCCTGCCTGATGCAGGGGCTGTATTTTCACTTCAGGGTTATGTAAAAGAGCTGGTGCCCTAAAGATGAAACACTCATGGATTTGCCAGAATTTAAAAGTGAGGAACTAAGGATGGGAAACTCAGTTTTACAGGAAATTGCACCAAAGTATACCATGTTGCGAAGTGATAAGAGACAAACAAACCCCAAGAAGTTACT